TCCTTATGTTTAGTCTTGCTTAAAGGATGCATGTGCTTTCTCAAGGATGCTTACCCTGCGGATTGTATCTAGAGGTTCATTTTAGTTCAAGCTGTTGTTACAATAAAAACCTAAGGAGGCAGGCAATCTGGGCCTTTTTGGCTCCTTATGCCAACTAACCCCTTAGCTTCTCTTTCACAGAAACATGTGTCAGAATAACCATTCATCCACCGTTCAGGGTCTGCCAGTCAGCCCCGGCAAACTGCCATGCATCCAAAACGGAAACCATCCCCACACGCCACGATATTTTGAATTTAATTTTAAAAAATCAATTTGCAATGAATATTATAAAAGTAAATATAATACTCACAATTTGGGTGTTCTTGAATATTTTCAACTGAAAAGTCTCATGAAAAACGATTTTTAAGTTGGTCGGGGCTGCCACTTAGGGAAACATTTTTTTTTTATAGATGCAAGTGACATGTGGGGAAGGTCCGCTTCTTGTGTCTACAGAGGCTTATGGTGGACAATGGGTTAAAATTCAGGGTTCTCAGGAAAACAATGACCAATAGTATTTGATTTGCATAAATTTACTTGGCCAAAGATGTGTTATCACATGGTCAAAGATATGTTCACTGGAGGAAAGATAATTTCAGTCAAGTTATTTACAAATATAAGATGTTAGTAGTAGGTCTTCAGAAAATGGAAGTCACATTTCATATAAACCTTTTGCCTTTCCAAGGTTTTCTGAACCACCCAAGCCCATCTGGCAATAGTTTTTCTTCTTCAAAGTTCCTTTCGACCACTTGGGGACACAATTTTCAGCATCAATGAAAAATAAATCTATGCTCCATTGCACATCAGAGTAACCAACATTTTTTAAAAAGTATCATTTAAAAAAAACTGGAAACTATCTCCATAATTAAATGATTATGGGAAAACTTCATAATATTCAGAGTCTATGACAATTTAAGCAATATAAAAGAAAACATTAACCAACTTTTCTAAACTGTCAAAATGATTTGGATTTGGTCCAAATTTTGTGTGAAGATCAGCCAAAACAATTCACCCAGTAGAAATTTAAAACAAAATACACAATTATTGATATTTATTATAGTTTCACACCAGCAGCTAAGAAAAAAAGTTGCCACTGACAAGGACTTTGGTAGATTAAAAGGCCATCTCCAGAACAGGTTGAAACCCTGGGGAAAAAAACAGGGCACAACTAACACTAAAAAGTTTTTTAAAAGCCCAAAGAACAAAAATGTCAGAGAATTTCAAAGTCTTTTAAGTACATTCACAGAAAACATATGCCAAGTAAGATTTAAACAGTCCCCAAGAGAATCAACTGCTAACTATACCCATCTCTGAAGAATTCTTTCAGAATATTAACCTGCCATTTCAGAACTTAAAAAATAGCCCTATATAATTTTTACAGGAAATAACTTAACATGCAATACAGATATATTTTGTGCAAATGGATTCAAACTCCCTTACAGAGAGAATTTTCCCTAAAGAATGAATTAAAATGTCCATTCCCAGCAACATGGCCGACTAGTTGTACAGAGAACACCTCTTGGTAAACAGCACTTTAAAATGCTAAATGAAAACATCTTTTATAGAGAGTATGGCTGAATTGGTGGTAAAATATAGAAAACCATTGGAGGCTAGAAAAGAGAAAATAGGATATTTCACAGGGTTTAACAAGGGTTAGAACCAGCATGTGCTCTGAGAGATTCTATGAATTCCTGGTGACCTAGTGCCTGGTTTTAATGACCCACTTGTACAGGGACAAAAGGTAAAGCATGTGAAATGAGGGATCAGGTCAGAAACTCTCACATAATGCTGGGAAATCCCCCCCCCCCCCCCAAGGAACTAGAAAAAAATCCAGGAAGTGGAAGGAAACATGCCTAAGTTGGAATGAATGGCTCTGGAAAGAAGGGGGCAAGTGGGGAGAAAAAGGTATATATTGTCCTGAGAATTCCTAATGACAAAGGCATACTCACCAACTTTGGTATTTGCACTGACTGTGGCCTGAAAAGCCTCAAGCTCTAATTTTAATTTAAAGTTGCCCTGGAGTGGTCTTGCTCCCAGTGCCTGGCAGAAGCAAACACAGGAATTTCAAGAATTCCTTTAGATACAGTTTACTAAATATACATACAAAATAAAAATTTGCTGAACACATGATGAAGACACCATGAGCTAAGATCAGCAGAAATAACAAACTGCAGAATCAGATGGGCAAAGTCAGTAGATACTGAACAAATACAAATATAAAATAAATGTTTAAAAATAAATAAATGTCTTATAGATTTAAAACAAAAGATTAAAAATGTGTTGAATGAAAAAAATAGAAAACTGTAATTGACCAGACAGATCTGAAAAAGAACCAATGGGAACTTTTAAAAATAAAAATATAAGAGATTAAATTAAGTAATTGATGGGTCAAAGAGAAAATAATAATGAAAATTATAAAACTCAGAACTAAACAGTGACTATTCTACCTATCAAAATTGTGAGAACTAGCAAAAATGATGCATAAAGAGAAACCTGTTGCCTTAAATGCTAATTTTTCAAAGTCTAAATATTAATGAGCTGTCTCTCCAATTTTAATTAGAAAAAGAGCAAAATAAACCTCAAAAAAATTAAAGAAATAATACAAAACAAAAATTAGTGAAATAGAAAAATTATATAGTGAAGAACAACAAAGCCAAAAGTTAGTTGTTAGAAAGGCTAACAAAACTGATAAACTGGACTGTGGGAAAGTGAGAACCAGAATACGGGAGTCAAACTGTCACACAAGGAAGAAGGCCAGGGAGGATGAGCCTGTGGAGGTTACTGTTCTGTGCCATAAACTCTAGGAAATGCCACATTTGATCATAGTGACATCTTCCTGTATATAAGCTTTTTAACTGCTATTTTAGGGACCTTGCCAGTTTGCATGTTGTTTTGTATCATGGCATAAATATTTACAAGAAATCTCTCATAGGCTTTCCCAGGTAAAATGTTATGGTAAGCATGCAGTTTGCAGTCTAGTTTTTTATGTAACGTAAAATTGGTGTACCTTTACAAGTACACTTGGTTTTATGATTTACATTTATCATGTGATTTTTAAAAATCCACTTATCTAATATATGTGAGAATAAGGTCTACTTTTGGTCTTCTTTTTGCTTAAATACTATCAATTTCTTAATGAATTGGCATGTAGAGCTCCTAGAACCCCTGGGAGATTACAGATATCCAACCTGGTGAGTTTCAAGAATAACAAAGAACATGATTCCACAGCTTTCCTAGGATGTTTGCTGATAGATTCTCTTTTGGTACTAAGCAAAATTCTCTTTATAGGATACAGTCCAGGCCAATTTATAATTAAATCTGTGTTCTGATGATGCTTCTAAAATAGCATTGATATGTTAAAGAAGCTTGATCTTACTTTTCAATTTACTTCAATGAGTAGTTCAGGTGCTTAACTGGAGTTTTAATTCTATGACATGTACATTGGATTCACAACCCTTAATGCAGCCTTTTTAGTTATGTGGTGCTTGGCAGAATGGCAATAAGGTTTTCCCCATTTTGGTTTTGGAAAGACACAAATAGTGTGCTTATGTGGCTCATGTTAGTACTTACACTTTTAAACCAAGACATTTTACCATAAATGTTAGTGGTGTTTGCCCATTGTAGCCTGTGTAATGTTTATTAATAGCTGTATCTTATGACTTCCATAAATGGCTTATTGATATTCAAAAACCTATGTCTGTGTTTTGAGGGTTGGGATAAAAAACACTAAATGACAATTTGAGAAAGACATATTGCTTACAAATTTTGATGTGTGTGGGAAAATACTGTTGCAATGAAAATCTTGGTAATTGATTGTAACAAGTAGTCAATATTTTATTAGAACCAACTTGTACAGACTAATAAAAAAAAGAGCACTACACAAAAATCAATTACATGTGTACAAATCAGCAATTATGTTAGAAAAGGGTAAACTTTTTCAAGATACCACTTATAATAACTGAAAATAAAAAGTTTAATTATAATTAAATTATAAAGAATTAGAATTCGCCCTAGCCTGTTTGACTCAGTAGACAGAGTGTCGGCCTGTGGACTGAAGAGTCGCAGATTCGAGTCTGGTCAAGGGCACAGGCCTGGGTTGTGGGCTCAATTCCCTGTAGGGGGTGTGCAGGAGGCAGCTGATCAATGATACTCTCTCATCATTGAAGTTTCTATCTCCCTCTCCCTTTCCCTTCCTCTGAAATCAATAAAATATATTTTTAAAAAAGAATTAGAATTATTTCAAAAAATATATAACCTTTATGAATAAAACAAGAAAAATCTTATTAAAAGGTTAATAAAGATCTAAATAAATATGGAAAAGTACCATGTTCCTGTATAAGAAAATTACCTTAAGGGTGTTAATTCCCCTCTAAAATCAATTTCAGAAACAATGAAATTTCCTTCATAATCCCATCAAGGTTTCTCACAGAACTTGAAAAGCTGATATGAAGATTTGTATAGAAAAGAAATGTACAATAGCCAAAGAACTGCTGTAGAAGAAAAACTGATGGGTGACTAGGGGGCTTAGAAACTTGCCCTACAAGATATCAAAAACTATTTTAAAGTTTTGATTATTAAGACTAGATTTGGCAGTGGAATAAAGAGTTCTGAAAGAGACCCACTCGTGCATAAAAGCTTGATGTACTGCAGAGCTGACATTACAGATTAGTGGGAACAGGATGAATTATTCAAGAAATGTATAAGGACTTTTAGAAAAAGTAAAATTATATATCCCATGTCATACACATTATTCTAGATAAATTAAGAATTTAAACGTGAAAGTAAGAGCATTGAAACTTTTAGAATATATAAAAATATGTTAATGATCTCAGAGTACATGTAACTAACAGAATTAATATCCAGGATATCTACATAAAGAACTCCAATGAATCAATAAGAAAAAGACAAAGCACTCAACAGAAAATGGACAAGTATTTTTTTTCCAAAATTATTTTATGTAAGAGAAAAGATAAATGGTTCATAAACATACAAAAAAATACTCAACCTTTTTAGTAATTAGGAAAATACAAATTAAAAGGAGAATAAGATACCCAAGTATTGGCGAGGACGTGGAGTGATGCGAACTCGCATAGCCTGCTGGTGGAAGCTTAAATTGATTGCTTCTCTTTTGTAAACACTTGGCATCAGTAAAGCTGTTTACACACTCCATGATCTGGCAATTTAATGCCTAGAAATACACCCTAGAAAAACGCTTGCTCATATGTGCCAGAGACATATACAAGAAATATATTCTCTAACACACTGTGGTCAAAATTAGAAATTAACTCTGAAATGTTTAATTAAAAATCATACAATACATTTATCATCCAACATTAATATTTAAAGAACACATAAGTATTCTCTTCATGAACTGCTTATTCTTTAATTGCTAAATTCATTAGTAAATATCAGTAATATCCTTTTGTAAATGCAGAGATAAAACACACCTGACAGGTCAATTTTAGGTACAGCATGAATGATTTTGTTCATACTGAGAGGTATATACACTTTAATCATCAAAGACTACTATATCAAGCATTTATGAAAGGAAATTCTTTTTGAAGATTATTTCAACTTAATTAGGATTAAAAGTAAATAAAACTTTTATCCTTATCATCATTGAGCGAAATAATTTTGGTTTTAATATCTTAACCAGAAAATAAACAGAAGCAAACACTAAGAATATGGAGAGCCTGATGTCCTGTGGTCTTCCTTAATTACCACCCATTTTCAAGAGACCATAATCTGCTCAACAGAAAGCATTCTACCAAGGATCTTAATCAGATTCTGAGAAAATTCCCACTCAAAACAAAACAATATGCCACTAAAACCCAAACAATGTAGGTATTAGCGGCTAAACAAAAGGTTAGCTCTACCTGATGAGTCACTTCTGAAGTGATGAAAGTCTGTCTTTGAAGTGCTTTCCATTCAGGCTGGAAATATATATAAAGGTAGGAATCATTCATGAAGCAGGTGGAGAAAATTTTCTCCATTTTACACATCTTTGACTCCATGCAAACATCGAACTAAGAATGGCAAAAATGAGTCTCTGCTCCTACACATTAATACTAACTTTTTCTTTGCTTTCTCAAGCCATTTTACTTTCAGCATCCAAGTCCATGAGAAATTTAGAAGATGACATGGTATTTAACACATTTAGGCTGGGGAAAGCCTTTCAGAAGGAAGATACTGCAGAAAAATCAGTCATTGCTCCTTCCCTGGCACAATATAAAAATGATGAGAGCGGTTTCATGGATGATGAGGAAAACAAAAATTCAAGGGTAAGTGGCAATCTGACTTGTCCTTTATTTCAATGACTATTTGAATGATTTTTATGGATGCTTTGAAAGTAAAGTTGATACTTTTATAAACAGAAGTATATGCAAATAGCTACAATATGCATTAGGACAACTGATGAAATTTCATACATACCAGGTTGTTCTTTCATCCTGGACAACAACTCATCATTTAAAAATATCTAAGATATTTTTAAAAAGTCAAAACAGTCATCTTTGAATTAATCAATAAGAATATCATGCAACTGTATTATATTACCATTCCAAATAAGACAGCAAAAATGCAAATCAATCTTTTCTTTACAGAACGCAGGCTCCAAACATAATTTCTTGAATCATGGTCTGCCACTGAATCTGGCTATAAAACCTGATCTTGCACCAAAAGGATCTGTAGCTTTTCCACCTGAGAATGGAGTTCAGAATATCGAATCAACACAAGAAAAGAGAGAAACTGGGGATGAAGAAAACTCAGCTAAATTTCCTATAGGAAGGAGAGATTTTGACAGTGAGTAGTCCTTTAAAATTCAATTATTTAAGTCTTAGTACCATAAAATAGAACTCTGAGTTTAACTGAATTTGGATCCAATCATAACAAAATTAAATAAGACCATAGTTCAATCACACTTTTTTCTATTAAGTGATCCCTGCCAAATATGCGGAACTAAAAAGCATTTAATTAGTTATTATAATTTTGATTTACTCCAAATTAGCTATATTAGATCCATTGTTTTCATTTCTAATAAATTTTGTGTGATAATAATAGTCCTTTAAGCAATTTAAACCCTTTATTTTTTTCTTTCAGTGATCAGGTGTATGCTGGGAAGAGTCTATCGACCGTGTTGGCAAGTCTGATACCTGTTGGCTCACATGATCTTTTCAGAAGAAAACAAAATCATTTAATTGCCTGTCGGGGGGAAAAGCCCTTAATGTTACTATGACTTATATTATTTTAAATGTCTGTTTTAAAAGAAAGCAGTATAAAGAGACATCATAAACCTAAATGATATGCTTTATTTGTACATTAAACTTTGTGAATATTCTGCATAATTATGACTTAGTTGTATTTTTTAAACAATGCTTAACACACTAACCTTACATATGCTCTAGAGTCTCTAAACCAAAATAATAAAGCATCACGAACAGACCAACTGTCAAACCTCAGAGGGAAGGCAGGGGAGGGGGGAGTGGGTAAGAGACCAGCCAAAGGACTTGTATGCATGCATGTAAGCATAACCAATGGACATAGACACTAGCAGGGTGAGGGCATGGGCTAGGGGGTGGGAGTATCTGGGGAGAGGTCAATGGGGGGAAAAGGAGGCATATGTAATACTTTAAACAATAAGGAATTTTTAAAATAACAATAAAGCATCATAATTTACACCTTGATCTCTTAAAAATTAAGTACATGCCTTTGGTGAATGGTTTTATACATACATGAATCTAAAGTACATAAAAGACAAATTCATAGTCTAAAAAACTGAGTTAACTTTGTCTGGCCAGTAATCAATTTGTCCTTGGCAGCACACTTGTTGCTTTTTGCTATTTTGGCTAGTTTGCCATCCAATTTATTCTGCATATCATTTGATGTCTTAGGTATCTTAACATTTTTATATTGGGGTGGTTCATTTCCATTATCACAGAGAATGTTTTCATCATCTAAATGCACCTGTTTCCTTTTCGAGCTTTTATTTCCTGTCTGATTACTGGATTTTCTTTCTACTTTTTCATTTTTACTTCTGTCCAGATGAACATTTCCAGGATTTGTTCCAATTGTTGGTCTTCCAACAGATGAATTTACACCTTTTGTTATGCAAGATGAAAAGAGGAAATGAATTACATAATATTTAGTATTATTACACATGAGAATTTTATAATAAACTTTAAAAATGGCTAGAGTATTAAAAAATTTGATTTGTATTCAAATAATGATATAAATTACGCCTATATTATCACACTAGAGACCCGGTGCACGAAATTCGTGCAAGGGGCTTGGCTCCTGCCTCTGCCTCGGCCCCCGCCTGCCGCAGCTTCATCTGGAAGGTTGTCCAGAAGGAAGTCTGGTCTAATGAATATATTATGCTTTTATTATTATAGACTAAAGGCCCGGTGCACAAAAATTTGTGCACTCGGGAGGGGGGGGTCCCTCAGCCCAGCCTGTGCCCTCTAGCAGTCTGGGACCCCTCGGGGGATGTCCACCTGCTGGCTTAGGCCCGCTCCCCGGGGACCAGGCCCGAGCTGGCAGTCAGACACTCCTCTGGCAGCCCAGGAGCCCTCTGGGGATGTCCACTTGCCAGCGGAGACCAGGCCTAAGCTGCAGTCAGACATCCTTAGCGCTGCTGAGGAGGCAGGAGAGGCTCCCGCCATCACTGCTGTGCTAGCAGCCGTCAGCCTGGCTTGTGGCTGAGCAGAGCTCCCCCTGTGGGAGCGCAATGACCACCAGGGGGCAGTTCCTGCATTGAGCGTCTGGCCCAGGGGTGGGCAAACTTTTTGACTCGAAGGCCACAATGGATTCTTAAACTGGACCGGAGGGCCAGAACAAAAGCATGGATGGAGTGTTTGTGTGAACTAATATAAATTCAAAGTAAACATCATTACATAAAAGGGTACGGTCTTTTTTTTTTTTTAGTTTTATTCATTTCAAACGGGCCGGATCCAACCTGCGGGCCGTAGTTTGCCCACGGCTGGTCTGGGCCCTGGTGGTTAGTGTGTGTCATAGTGACCAGTCATTCCCAGTCGTTCTGCTGTTAGGGTCAATTTGCATATTACCCTTTTATTATATGCCTGGTGCATGGGGGGTTGGGGGGGCTGGCTGGTTTGCCCTGAAGGGTATCCTGAATCAGGGTGGGGGTCCCGCTGGGGTGCCTGGCCAACCTGGGTGAGGGCCTGAGGGCCGTTTTCAGACTGGCCACACCCCCTTCAGGGTGGGGGTCCCTGCTGGGGTGCCTGGCCAGCCTGGGTGAGGGGCTGATGGCTGTTTGCAGGCTGGTCAAGCCCCGCAGCAGGGACCCTCACCCCTTGAGGGTATGGCCAGCCTGGGTGAGGGGCTGATGGCTGTTTGCAGGCTGGCCACAGCCCCTTCAGGGTGGGGGTCCCCCCTGGGGTGCCTGGCCAGCCTGCGCGAGTGGCTGATGGCTGTTTTCAGGCTGGCCAAGACCCCCAGCAGGGACCCTCACCCCATGCGGTGTGGCCAGTCTGGGTGAGGGACTGATGACTGTGTGTAGGCTAGCCACAGCCCCTTCAGGGTGGGGGTCCCCTGGGGTACCTGGCCAGCCTGGGTGAGGGGCTGATGGCTGTTTTCATGCTGGCCACAGCCCCCAGACACCCAAGCTCCCAGTGGAGGCTGGCTGGAAGCAGGTATCTGGGATTTATTTATCTTCTATAATTGAAACTTTGTTGCCTTTAGAGGAGGCCACAGTCGGCCAGGGCAGGCGGGAAGCTTGGCTTGCTCCATCGCTGGGGCAAACCAAGCCTCCTGCTTGCTCCAGCTCCGTGGCTGCCGACCGCCATCTTGGTTGGATAAATTTGCATATAGTTGCTCTGATTGGATGGTGGGCGTGGCTTGGGGCATAGCAAAGGTACAGTCAATTTGCATGTTTCTCTTTTATTAGATTAGATTATTTTCCTTTTACCATATCACTTTCATCCCTACAAACAAATATTTGCTTTGTTTAAATGCATGACACTTAAATCCTTAAATGTAAGAGTTATTTCTTAAATACATTTAGTTAAATCAAACTGTGTCCTATTCCTGTCTATAAATTTGTACTTAGATTTAACTTTTTAAATAAGCCCAAGTCTTTAAAAATAGACACTTTTACATTTCACATTTTATACTTTGTGAGGGGAAAATCTAGTTTTACTTAAGTTAAAACCCTATACTGGAATTAAATTGCTATTTAATTGCTCAAATAAGGCCAATTACCAGAAAGGTCATTTTCCATGTGAAGAACATTCAATGGCTTTGATGCTGAATCAACATTATTCCATGTATTCCTGCTTATCAGGCAGTCGTCTTTATAGGTACAAGAAAACTGGGATCTAATTAAGGTTTGCTTCATCTGGTAATGGGAAGAAAGAGGAAAATATACAATTTATTCTTATTTTTCTTTATCTTTCATCTAGGTAGGAATACACTCTATAATAATCAAGATATCATAAAAATTTCACATAGAAATTTCATTATTCATTGAGAACTTTTAACCCCTGATGTTTCTTAGTTTACAAATTCATTCATTGTTACAACTAGCATTTTTATGCATTTTAGAAATACCAGTTATATATATATTTTTCATATCTTTTGTAACAGTTTAGAAAGATCAATTTTAGACTCTTAAGAGGCCTTTCTTACATATTCCTGTGTCTGAGCTACTTTGGAAAGAAAGTTTTATGACAAATTTAAAAATAACATACATAATCCTAAATAAATACAAGTTCTTCATCCTAAGAATTACAGAGTACAACTCTTTCAGGAAAAACAAACACCAGTATATGTAACTCAAGAAATTAAGAAAGGGAGAAATGCTCAGATAAAAAGATAACTAAAAAAGGATGAAAGAAACAAAAATAGAAATCTAACAAAGAATAAACTGAAAGAAAACAAAATGGTGACTGAGAGGCATTATTTCTTGATTAAAAACTTGAATATTTAAGAAAATAAGAAAGATGATTAAAATATGTCATTCTAGGAAAATCTGACCAAGTGATTTAATGGTTGAATATTCAAAATACACTCTTACATTTATCTTCAAATGTTATAAGTAGGAGAAAATTAGAAAGCTAAATTTAATTCTTAACCACTAAAGAGGATGCCAAGGGAGTAGTTTTGGAAACGTATTCTGCAAACATAAAACCAGTGGCTGTTTTAGGGATAGAAATTAATTGCAGAACAGAGTAATTCATACAGATAAAGCAAGTTTCGACAATTACATCTAATGTGTAATGACACTCAGTTATTATGAGGAGACTTCTCCAAATCCAAATTCATCCCAAATCCTTTCCAGAAATAGACAAAGATTAAATGTCAAATAAATGATTCAAGAAAGAGAACTTAAACACTTCAAAGCATAATCACATTATGCAGAAGATTACTTTTGGAAATTTATTGATATAGTTCATAAAGTCTAAAACAGCACAACTTTATATTGTATATTCAGTAGTTCTATATTATGCTTATATATTCAGAGAACACTGAATTAACCCTCTGAGATATTTGCAAAGATAATGGCAGTGAAATCCACTGACTATGGTTTAGATTAGAAGAAATGAGAATAGTCCCCAGTACAGTTGCTTCATAAAATCAAGTTTTCTCAGCATGACAAATTTATATCTTTCTGACTAATGATATCTATGAGAACCGCCACTTCCTAGATCACTAAAAATTAAATCTAATTAAGAATTAGACCATTGGAATGTACCTTCCATTTGAGTGCAAAAATATACAAAATTTTTTAAAAATGTAAAAATGCAAAAGACCAAAACTATTTTTTTAAAGTTAAAGTAGGCTCAATAATGAAACTACAATCCCATAGCTTCATGAATCCACATGAATGCAACTACTGTTATATAGTTTCCACCATGAGATGCCCAAAAATATAACTGAAGGTTTTAACTAGCCCTTTCTGGACTTTATTAATTCCATAAATACAGAATTAAAGCAATTGACAAAACTACTAAGTGAATTTGGCTAATAAAATAAACTTTATATTACATCAGATCATTATTATAGTAACGTTATCTAAAAATTTCCATCTGTAAAACCAGTGGTAACTGTTGACATTATTGTTTTACATAATTTTCTTTCATTTCACCAGAGTTATTGCTTATAAAGAATTATAAATGTATTGCTTACAGAGAGTTACAGAGTATGGTAAGTGCATGAAGGCAAACAAGTGATAAGTGGCTGGCTAGGATCACTCCTATAGTACTCAGATAGTGATGGGTGGCTTGGGGGGACTTTAGCCTCCCACCACAAAGACAGCACCACCCATAAAATAATCTTAAGTAAAAATACAATAACTATATTATTTAGTACAATCAGTGTTTTCTCAATCTCATGTTTAGCACAAATAAACATTTCTGTAGAAAACTGTGCTATTTTTATTTTTATTAATTTTTAACATACATCTAAGTAAAAAAACAACCTTTCTTTGCTATGTAAATACAGTCACAAAATAAGAGGTATAGCCCTCCTTATTATAACTAGATTTCCTCTCCTCAGGAAATTTTTGAACCTTATGACATCAGGAGCAATTTCAGCAAACTAGAGTTATAAGGCAATAGATTCTTAAAATCCTGAGACTGGATCCAGGTATGAAAGAAAAATATTTAACAACTGTTTTGTTTTTACCATGAAAGATATAATAAACATATCAAAACATAAGAGAGAACCACAATAGTTCTATGATAGTCTTGAAATACTTAGGTACAAAAGATCATATATAGGTTTTATTTTCCTTACCCTACACAAAAAACTTTTTTATTAATTACTAAGTTCCAACTAGTGATAGGCACATAGTGTATTAAAGAGAGTATTAGGATGGCTTCTCTAACCAGACATTCTACTTATAAAAGTTGCTGCTGACACACAGCTGGAAGGAATAATAAATAAGTTGGATAACAAAATCAAGATTGAAAATATCTCAGATGGCTAGAACCTTAAGTAGAAAACAATAAGATGAAAATGAATGAGGATAAACAAAGTCCTGTATTTAAGTTCAAAATATCAATTACAGATGTACAGGATGAGGAAAGCCTCACTTAAAAACAACATATGAAAAAGATCTAGAGATTTTAATTTATCACGAACTTGATTGGAGCCAACAATGTAATGTCCAGCTAAGAAATCCGCACACAAAGCAATGATGTGAAGGGAAAGGCACCAGATTTGCTGTCAAAACACCTGGCTTCTAAGACTGGCTCTATCACTTATTAACTAGATGATGTTCAGTAAAGCTCTAAACTTCTCACTTACCCACATATAAGTGGGAATAAAATTTATCTCACAAAATGGCCAGGATTAAATGGTTAAATACATGAAAGGGCTATATAAAGGTTAGAGATCTATGTTGATACTATGCAGTTATTAATGTAATAACATATATGAAGACAGTAGAGTGAGAAATTTGTTGAATTAGGCCAACTCTAAACTGATTCTTGGAATGCAGCTCAAAAAATGAGCTTACAATCAGCATCTTCACTTTAGTTATTAAAACAATACAAGCTACATTGGCTTGTATTTATAACTTAAAAGAGAATGCTTTTCCTTTGTTCATAAAAGTTGAATTTTTGTGCACAAGATTAGTGGCTACATAGAACTGAGGTTACTTCCTGTTGCCAATCTTCCAAATCTCTCTGTGTATTTGATTTGGAATCACAAATAAGCAAAAACAATTCCCTCTTGAAAGTGCTTTTGAAGTCCTAAACAACTAAGAATAATGTCCAGATTCATACATGGCTGTTAAAATCATTTTATGTTCCAGTCACATGAGAGACAAGGATTGAAAGTTTTCCTTTGTAGAGTGATTTCCCCCCTTTGGAAAGCTTTCTATCCACAGTAAAATTGCAATGAACTTCAAACTTGCCAAGAATTGGAAAAGTCCTCTTGCCACAAGCTCTTTTTAAATTGAAATTATTAGTAGGTTCCCAGTTTGAGGAAAATAGTACTTCACATAGGAAAGCCTGACTCCAGTTAAAACGAGTCAAAATATTGAAAAGTTGCAGGCACTCTCAGAATATTACAAAGAAAAGGAAAGTTCTAAGCCGTTATCCCGATAAATAACACCAAGTTTGAAAAAGGAGATTATTCCTAACTAACCTCTTAAATATATAACTAAAAATAAATACTCTGAATTTATCTTTTTGTTCTTTTATCACATTTTTAAAAGAATAGATTTGCTACCCTTGTGGCGTATGAATTTATAAATATATCAAATGATCCATTTATTCTTCAGTGAAATTTCATTTACTTTGCTAAATAGCAGAAAGATAATATTTTTGACCTAAGTAGTAGCATTATCTTTGTATGAGTCCTCATTATAATTACTCTGCCTTTATTTACCCTTTAGGAATAGCATAAACTCTGAAGTCTTACCCCTGAATACAAACCTTTGCTCTGTTACTTCCTAGCTGTAGAGTCTGGAAAATGATGCTTTCTAGAGTTGAGCAAGGATTCATTAGGATGAAGGATATAAAATGTCTAGTATACTTGACACTTAGTAGGTATTCATTACTTCAACCAAAACAAATACAATTCCTAATTGAATTTCTATTTCAGTCTAATACAAAAATCCCATCTTCATCCTAATGAAAAATGCTGCTGACTCCCTTAAAGTCTATGCTTCTCAAAGAGACCCCAACTGACCATCCTATTTAAAACCAAAACATATCCAGGAAACACACTCTTAGAGCTCTGCCTCCAGGGATCACGCCCCTCCATTCCCTTCCCTTCTCCTTCTCCCAAAGACATCTATCTCCTAAACTCCAAGGGACCCCGACACTTGCAAGCAGGAGAGCAATGGGCAGCAGCAACTCATCCAGGGCTCACCCCCAAACCTGTCTCCAAGGCCCCTTTTCTCTGACTTCCCAGTGAGCCAAAGCAGACCAGTCTAGGCTCTCCTGTTGCTTCTTGTATGCCCTTCCTTGTTTCACTGCCCTAAGTGTGTTTTTGCTATAGTCAATAGATTCTTCCTTGCTTTTAGATCCTATTGCAAGTACCTGGGGCCCAGAATTCTCTGCACAAACTGTCCTAGGCACTGGGTTGGCACTAGCCTCTTCCTCTAGGCTCGTGGGCTGACTGTTCATGGCAAGGGCAATGGAGAGTGATATGTACACCTCTTGAGGGAGTGTCCCTAAGAGTATGGAACAGAACCAGGGTTGAAGGGTGTAGGGGTAGGTCAGGGGCTTCCATTTAGATTCTTGCACCCCAGACCCACAAATATCAGGGGCTTTTGTCTGTTTTGTTCACTAACGTTTCTCCAATGTCTAGGACGGAGCCTGGTATTTGAGAAGCATTTAATGCATGTTTGTTAAATGAATTAAGTAAAATTAAAACAGACTTCTA